AAAACAAACTAATTAAAAAGGTAATATTCTAATGAACCTGAACGGTGCCAGATCCCTGGTCGGGTCCGCAGTCACGCCCGCGGCCGCGGACAGAACTTATGCACAATCCGCGAATCTGACCGCGGATTAAGCATCCAGATTTTTTTTTGCTTTTTGCACTTTTGCCTATCTCTGGGATAATTTCGTCACCCCGAGTCCTTTCGCTTCGCATACTTTCGTTCCTGCACTTTAGTAGATCAATCAATATTGTCACCGTTCAGTTACAAAAATAAGAACAAAGAAAAATAATGGGTTGCCTCCCAAAAAGCGCCTAATTTAACGTCGCGGCATGACGATTTACAACAAACCATGGGTTGCCTCCAAGGAAGCACCTGATTTAACGCCACGGCACGATGCAGACTTTCATTATGACTCTTCGCTCATGTATTGGAGCTCTTCCAAAGATATCACCACTCTATCCCCCTTTTCTTCGACCATTCCAAGGTAATGTTTCAACCTTCGCTCATTCACTGTGAACTTATTTATTCCATCTTCGGATTCAATTTCTACAACTCCACTTGAGAACATTTGCACCACTCTGAAGGGTCTTGACCATCAGGACTTCAATTTACCCGAAAACAATCTTAGTCTCGAGTTGTATAACAACACTAGATCTCCGGGTTTGAAGTTCCGATTTAGAATATACTTATCATACATCATTTTCATCCTTTCTTTTTTCAATCTTGCATTCTCAAATGCATGGAACCTGAAGTTCTCGAGTTCATGTAACCTAGTGACTCTACTGGTGCCTGCGTTCTCCATATCCAAATTCAACAACTGTAGTGCCCAAAGGGCATTATGCTTCGAGCTCTACTGGAAGGTGGCATGCTTTTCCAAACACCAACTTGTATGGTGACATACCAATTGGAGTTTTAAATGCTATGTGGTACGCCCATAATGTATCATCCAGCTTCTTTGCCCAATCAGTCCTTGTCGCATTCACTGTCTTGGTTAGGACACTTTTGATTTCCTCGTTTGACACTTCAACTTGCCCGCTTGACTGTGGGTGATAAGGGGTGGTCACCTTATGGAGAACTCCATACTTTTCCAACAGTCGTGCGAACGCTCTATTGCAAAAATGGTTCTACCATCACTGATTATAGCTCTCGGGGTTCCAAAACGTGTAAAGATGTTTTTATTTAGAAAGCCTGTCACCCCCTTTGCATTATTGGTTCGGAGAGCCACAACTTCAACCCATTTGGAGACATAGTCAACTACCACCAGTATGTATTTGTCACCATACAAGCTGACGAATGGCCCCGTAAAGTCAATCTCTCATATGTCAAATACCTCCACCTCTTGAGTAGTAGTCATCGGATCTTGTGACCTCGAGATATGTTGCCTGTCCTTTGGAACTCATCGCAACTTTTAACTCAAGCATGGGCATCCTTGAACAGAGTTGGACAATACAAACCCGATTCCAACACCTTAGCCGCTGTCCAAATTCCTCCAAAGTGTCCACCATATGGTGAAGCATGGATCGCCTGCAAACAGAAGGTTGATCTTTCTCGGGGATACACCTCCGTATCATGTTATCTACACATATTTTGATAAGTAAAGGTTCATCCTAATAATAAGACCGACAATCGCGAAAGAACTTTTTCTTTTGAATTGAAGAGAGTTCATAAGGTACAATAACACTTGCTAAATAATTAGCAATATCAGCATACCATGGTGTCTCCTCCATTGCCACTGCTAGTAACGGTTCATCCAGGAATGTCTCTGTTATATCTTCAACCTCTACCTTCTTTTCAGCTCCTTCCAACCTTGAGATGTGGTCTGCTACTTGCTTCTCTGACCCTTTTCTGTCACGGATCTCCAGATCGAATTCTTGTAGCAAAAGAACCCAGCGGATCAAGCGCGACTTTGACTCCTTCTTTGCTATCAAGTACCTAATTGCTGCATGGTCAGTATAAATAATAACTTTTGAACCAATCAAGTACGACCTGAATTTGTCGAATGCAAAAACTACAACCAACATCTCTTTTTTCGTCACGGTGTAATTGAGTGTGCACCACTTAGTGTTCTTCTTGCATAGTAAATTGGGTGCATCAGCTTATCCTTTCGTGGCACCAAGACTGCTCCTATAGCATAGTCACTTGCGTTGAACATGAGCTCGAACGTTGCTCCATGTTAGGTGAATCAATGATGGTTGCAGTCACCAATCTCTTCTTCAGCTCCTCAAATGCCAACGTGCAATCATTAGAAAACACAAATGGCTAATACTTTTCAAGGAGATAACATAAAGGGTTAGCAATCTTAGAGAAATCTTTTATGAATTGCCTGTAAAACCCGGTGTGCCAAAGGAAACTTCTCACTGCCTTGACCGAAGTGGGTGGTGGCAACTTCTCTATCACATAAACCTTAGCATGGTCAACCTCAATTCCTTTGCTGGACACTCAATGCCCCAAGACTATCCCTTCTTGTACCATAAAATGGCACTTCTCCCAATTCAGCGCTAAATTTGTCTCCAAACATCTTTTGAGCACTCTTCTTAATTTGTGAAGACAGTCCTCGAATGAATCCCCCACCACGAAGAAATCAACCATAAATACCTCCATAATGTCTTCAACCATGTCCGTGAAATTGGCTAACATACACCACTAGAATGTAGCTGCTGCATTGCAAAGTCCAAAAGGCATTCTCTGAAAGGCAAAGATGCCATACGAACAGGTGAATGATGTTTACTCTCTGTCTTTGGGGGCTATTGAGATCTGATTGTACCCCGAATATTCATCCAAGAAACAGAAGTGAGATCGCCTAGCCAACCTGTCTAGCATTTGGTCAATGAATGTCGAGGGAAAATGGTCCTTCCAGGTGGCTGTGTTCAATTTCCGATAATCCATGCAAATCCGCCATCCCGTGACTATACGAGTCGAGATCAACTCGTTATTCTCATTTTGTACGACCATCATTCCTCCCTTCATCGGCACATACTGAACAGGGCTGACCCAATTGCTGTCAGAGATGGGGAAGATGATACTCGCATCTAACCATTTGATCACTTCCTTCTTCACCACCTCTTTCATATTCGGTTTCAACCTTCGTTGATGTTCTCTGGAAGGTTTGTGCCCTTCTTCCAAGAGAATCTTGTGCATACAAAAAGCTGGGCTGATACCCTTTATGTCTGCCATGGTCCAACCAATAGCATTCTTACATTCTTGTCACACCTGTAGGAGTTGCTCTACCTGCACAGCTAGAAAACCGGATGATATAATAACAGGTAAAGTAGAATTATGCCCTAAGAAAGTGTACCTGAGATGCGCTGGGAGCGGTTTCAGGTCCAACTATGGTGGCTCCTCTATCGATTGTTTTGCAGGTGGTGGTGTTCTTTCTTCTAAGTGTAGGGGCTCGAACTAGGGTTCCCTTTTCAAAAACCCTTGACCTTTAAGATCCATGACCCACTCTGCCAACTTCTCACCATCCACATTTTCCAGATTCATCAAGTAGACTTCTAACGGATCCCTGACATTAATAGTCTCATCCTCCTCTTGTAGTATTACATCTACGGCCTCCACTAGTGAGCAATTTGCAAATTCGCTGGGTCTCCTCATAGATTGTTAAACATTAAATATTATCTCTTCATTGTTCAACCTCATTTTCAATTCTCTAGTCTCACAATCAATCAATGCTCTCCCAGTGGCTAAAAACAGCCTGCCTAGAATGATTGGTATCTGTTCATCCACTTGACAGTCAAGAATGACGAAGTTTGCAAGGAATCCAAATTTTCCCACTTGAACAAGCACATCATCAAGAATTCTTGTCGGTCTTTTGACCATGCGATGAGCCAGTTGCAGCAACATTGAGGTCGGTCTAGCTCTGCTAATGCCCAGTTTTGTATTGATTGCCAAGGGCATCAAGTTTATACTGGCTCCCAAGTCACACAATGCTTTAGCAAAAGCATAACTCCCAATGGTATATGGAATAGTGAAACAACCTGGATCAGACACCTTTTGAGCCATAGGCGTTGTCACTACCGCGTTGCAGGTCTGCGTCAAAGTTACAGTGGACAGGTCCTGGAAGTCAAGTTTTTGCGACATCAGGTCCTTCATTATTTTTGCATACCCTGGCATTTCCCTCAAAGCATCTATCAGTGGAATATTCAATTGAATTTGTCTGAGCATTTCCATGAATTTCCTGTATTGATCATCTTTCTTTTTCTTTGCCAACCTTTAAGGTAATGGTGCAGGAATCAACCTCTCCCATTGCTTTGTGTCTTTTCTTTGGTGTAAGCTTTTTCCACTACATGTTCTGAAATTCCTTCTCCTTACCTTTGTCAACCTATGCTTGCTTGATTACAACCTTGGTGAGCTCTCCTGACTCATCTGTCTCTAATGTAACTGGAGTAACTGGAGTAGTTGGCGTTGTCTCTCTCCTAGATTGAGCAACTTCTTGCTCCCTGTCTAAATCTCTTCCATTCCCGAGACTCACTGCCATGAGCTGATTTGGGTTTTGCTACTTTGGATTAATGTTTGTATCTGCAGGCAATGTTCCTTGTAGGCGATTGTTCAAGGCCATAGATAGCTATCCAAATTGAGTTTCAATGCCTTTGATTGCTAAATCATGTGCAGTTAACTTCTCTTACATCTTTCCATTTGTCCCAATGAGTTGTTACAGCATACCCCTGATTTCAATCATGTTACTGTCCTGCTGTTGATGAGGTGGTTGGTAGGCCAAATGTTGCTGGTGTTGGTGATTATAGCCCTGCTGCCTCTGATAAGGCACGACTTAGCCTTATGGTCGTACTCCTCCTAGATTGGGGTTGTGCTGTGGCTGGTTTGGTCTGTACTGCTGGTTTGATGTTGGTCCCCATTGTTGTCCACCTTGCCTCTGACCTCCGAAATTAGTGACATAATTCATGTCTTCTCTGAAACCCTGGTTGTCATTCTCTCCGCTCCACGAGCACACATATGACTGGTTTATGCAAGGAGTGCATAAGCCTCAATTTTTAGTATTAACAATGTGCAGTTGTTTTGTACCCATCTCATCGATTTTCTTTGTCAGCAAGCTCATCTGGGTCATAAGAGTGGCTATGTTTTCTGCATTTCTGTTGTTTGGGTCAAGAGCGACAGAATGCACTATTGGGGTGAATGTAGTGTCTCTCGTCATCCAGCCTGGATTTTGAGACATCTTGTCAAGAAGAATCTTACACTCTGTGAATGTTTTGCTCAAGAATGCACCCCCGGCAGAAGCATCTACATTGGCCTTTAGACTCTCAGCGAAACCCATATAGAATCTCTATCCTAGCATCTGATCCGGATTGCCATGGTGAGGACACTTCACCAACATACCCTTAAACCTCTCCTAGGTTTCTTGCAAAGTCTCAGACGGTTTCTACCTGAATTGCAATATCTCATCAATCTGCTTTGCAGTTTTGTTGGGTGGATAAAACTTGTTTTAGAACAACTTGACTAGTTCCTTCCAAGTGGCAATAGAGTTTATTGGGAGCGAATTAGCCCAGTTTGAGCCTCCCCAGTCACTGAGAATGGAAACAGTAATAATTTGATTGCGTCAGGAGTCACATTCGGTTGTCTTTGAGTGACCCATATTGATAGAAAGTTCTTCAGATGTTGCTGCGGGTCTTTGATGTATGACCCGAAGAACAGCCCTTTATTCTGCAACAGGTGCAGCATGTTGTTGGTGATCTGGAATGTCTCCGCTTGTATCTGAGGAATCGCAATTGTTGTGGTCAGGTTATCAGCAGTTGGTTGCGTCCAATCATAAAGAGCAGCTTTTGGCGCAATAGATGCTACCACTATGACGTTTGGGTTATCTTGATCATTCTTGTTGTTCACGTTGACGTTATCTACGTCACCCATTTCAATTTCAATTTGTTCGTTTTATTTCAGCTGTTTGCTTTTCTTGTTAGCCCGATTAAATGTCCGGAATGCTTTTTCGGGATATGAGAGTCCTTCAACGAGTTTACCAGTTCTCAAAGAGCTGCTAGGCATGCACCTAAGTCACAGAAGAGTTCAAAGGTGAGAATTTCGATAGAAATATTTTTAACACCATAGAAAATTGATCTAAACAAATAATCCAAGCAATTCTTCCAAGTTGCAATGAATAACATCGTTAGTTCCACGGAAACGGCGCCAAAATTTGATCACGCCAACTATGCCTTATAATGGACTAAGCAGTCGCTGCAAATATAATCCGGTTCAAGTCCGGAGTCGAATCCCATAGGGAACTAACTTATTTACTACAACTTTTAACACTGCTAATGAATAGCTCAACCAATCCCCGGATGCAAGATTTTTAATGGATAATTGAGTAGAATTTAGTTAACTAAGGAAAAATAATAATAAAACTCACAATAATCTAGAATAGAGTTGAATTCAATGGTAAAATCGTCTAGTGTTACTGATTTGCCCAATTGTCGGATTAATTCCTGACACGCTATATTCTCGTCGTAACACTCTATAAGAAATATGAGTTCTGGGTTACCGCAATTATCTCTCAATCAATTATGATAATTTACTGTCACACCTCCTTTTTTACACCTACCCCGGAGGATAATGTATAAGGGGTTTTTTCCAATTTAAGTGACATTATTCGAAATGGGATTATTTATTTAGTTTTAGAGTCGCCACTTGGGATAGGTTTGGCTTTTGGTGTCCCAAGTCACCGGTTTTACTTGAATCCCAAATCGAGGAAAATTTTCGACTTCCCAATTGAGTCTGCGAACCAGAAATTCTGAATTCTGTTGACCCGAGGGAAGGTGTTAGGCACCCCCGGATCCCGTGGTTCTAGCACGGTCGCTTAAACTATCATAAATGGCTAAAATCTGATTTTTATACATGTTATCCTATAGTGCAATTTTAAAATTATTTACCGCTTTTAGTTTAATTTTTTAAGAAAGTGATTGTTGTTAAAAAACGTATTTTTGGATTACGTCACATGAAATGCACCCGAATCCTCGACACATTCTTATTCAACGTTTTCAGATTTGGATTTGGGTCGCATGAAATGCACACCCGTATTTAGGAAGGTAAAATTATTAAAATGCGCGCCTAAAGCGACTAACGTGTTATTAACTTTGCGGGAGGCCGTGAAAATTCGCTAAGCGGCACGTCCCAAATTCTAAGTATTTTAATATAAACAATTAAAGAGGGCCGTGCAATTTATGCATTTTATTTGGCGCGGCTCACCTCATTTTGTTATTTAAAGGCCATCCTAGAGCAAACTATGATTTTCTACTAGGTTTGTCTCTAAAGGGTCCTAATAAGTTAATATTACTAATACTATTTATTTAAAGTAATCAAGGAATTTGGTCTCCGGTTCAAGTCCACACTTGAACAAGAGGTAAACCTCTTAATTCAAGTATGCTACTTAACTAGAAGGCCCAAAACCTATGTTGCCAAAATTAATCTCAGATTTAATGTTCGTTCAGGCCTTCGAATCTTGAGCTTGGCCCAACATAATATAAACATAGTCTGTCATTTTGTTGAGCTGTTACCAGCTCTGGGCCTCAACGCAGGCCCAATTAGTGAGATGGGGAAGATTGGAACTGGGCCATGCCTTAGTGATACTGAGGCCCAAACGTATTCAGTAGTTGGGGATATCAAGGAGAGGAAAAATTCAAATCCAGTTGGTCAAATGACTATTAAATTAACCTTTTTAAATTTTGCTCTAATTTACATTAACAAATTCCTACACATATTCGAAGAAGTAGATAACTGAAGTGTTTATACTGAAATGCTACTTTGATTCGAAATGAAAATGTGAAAACTGAGCTACTGTAACTGGGATTCAAATTGAACTACAAATTTTACTCATTTTGATACTTGTTTTTTATCAATTACTACAACTCAACTAGAACTAGTAGCTATACTAGATTTAAATGCACTATGGCTAATAGCAGATTTATAAACCTGAAGCACAGCTTCTTCAACCAAATAATACCCTAATCTGAATTCGAACCTCGAACTAATCTAGTAACTCGACTGACGTTTACTACATTACAGTTAGTACTACATTATAATGCTCCTACAAGTCCGTCCTATTTCAACAGTCCAATACAAATAACCACAATGTACTGACGAATTAATCTCTAGCGTAACAGTCACCATATCATAATTCTAAGCAGTCCTTAATTGATTACACACGAAAAATATACTAAAATTCTGAATCTAGCTAACTATAGTATGAGTTTGAACAAGGGAAAGCAAATAAATAGCATTTCATTCTTTCATTCCCAACACTTGAGATCTACAGGGAGTGTACCTGGAATTAAAGCAAACAAGAGAAGAAGGTAGGGTCAGCAATTTCTCAGCAGTACAGCAACATGAATCAGCAATGAAATCAACAATGTAGGATCAGTTTTGAATCCAAACAGCATCACCAAGTCCAGGAATGAATGAAGGAGAAACAACACCAACAAAAACTCAAAATAGACCCGATAGAACCTAACAAACTTTAAATTTAACCCAGGATTACTTCTGCGACTTCAGTAGCCAAGTACCAGGACCTTCAAGCCATTTTTATCCTTCCTATGCTATGGATGTGAATTAACAGCTAAAATACTTTGAGATTGACCTAGGAAATTCCAATAGAACAGTGTTTTTTGGAGTTTCTATTCCTTTTACTCTTTTTTTTTTGGTTTTCTGAAGAGAAACTAAATCTGAGATGAAATTTTGAACTTTTGAGTTCAGATTTTTAGTATTTGAATTTGAAATTCAAATTTTTGGATGCTAGAACTTGCAGAAAATATTTTGGGGGGATTTTTAGAAGCTGGAACTTTTTGGGAATTTTTTTTAGGTGTTCGAACTTGAAAAAGAAGGCAAGGGGGCTGCCTTTTATAGGCAAATTAAAGGGGGAAGCTTCTAGATTTCACTTACTCCTTTTCCCCCCTTTCTATTTTCAGTTTTTATTAGTTAAACCTTCTTTTTTTGACTTGTTTCTCAAGTTACTGCTCTAAGTTTCTGAAAATAGAACTAAGGCCCTATTTTAGAAGGTCCTAGAAGATTCTAGCTTAAACTACAGCATTCCCATCCATTTCTAAATACCTAGATTACCCCTGAACCTAATTTCAAATTTCTAACCTAATACTAAACCAAACCTCAAGCTTCTTTACCCTAGTTACAGATTAACAGCTATAACCAAATAGTCAAATTAATAAAATCTAACTAATAGCAACCAAGGAACAAATACTAACAATAAAAATCAGATACTAACTAACAGGGTTGACCAAAACCAATTAAAGAAATTAAAGCCTATGTTAAACACAGAATCAAAACATATTCAAACCAATGGTTAAACTAATATAAAAAATCACTAAAACATGATTAATCAAAACAAAGTGACCAAATAATGACTAAACAAGATCAGAATCAGAAAAAATAAAAATAGAAAAAGTGACTAAAGAAAAATCTACTAATTTTGGCTAAAACAAATACTAAAAACAGGATTAAAATAAGAAAGGAAAAATGACAAAAGTA